CAGTCAAATGATAAATAGGGACTTTATAGGACAAACCACAGGGTGAAAAAAATCTTTATAAATTATTTTATTGTTATACATTATTTTTCAATGATGACAGGTGTGGCTCTGGCTCTCCTGCCTCATCTGACAGCACATCATTTATTTTATATCTATATCTATATATATATATATATATAGATATATATATATATATATATATATATATATATATATATATATATATATATATATATATATATATATATATATATATATATATATATATATATATATATATACAGACCATAATTTAGCTAACTATGGTCTTTTTTATGCTCTGTTTCACTTTATGACTTTTGCAAGAAGGTTGCACACAAACTTTTGCTTCTTCAGCTGAATTGTGGCATACCTTTACTAAGTTTCACTACTTGACAAAGGAATTCTACAATGTATCACTGCAGCTTTCTTATGCTTTTTTTCTACTTATTCTTTGTTCTCAAATTTTTCATATTTCTCCATCAATCATTCTGCAAATATATTCTTTGGCCCATTATGCTAAGCTTCACTTTTTCAAATATGTCTGGTTATGTACTAATTTCTCCTTCTAATAAATTTCTGCTTCTGCTGATTTATGCTGTTTGCTACATTTCAACTATTTCAATTTCTTCTACTTCTGAAGCTTCTCTTTAAGTTTATTACATTTCTGCTGCAGTCATTCTGCAAATATGCATTCTCACGGCTGTTTCGCTAGGAACAGCTATTTTTCTAGTTATTATCAGTGAGAATGCATCCAATGCATTCTCACTACTTGTGTTTCTGTTTCCCTTTATTATTATTATTATCAGTGAGAATGCATCCAATGCATTCTCACTACTTGTGTTTCTGTTTCCCTTTATTATCAGAGAGAATGCATTCAATGCATTCTCACTTATAGTTTTTCTGTTTTTCTTTATTATCAGTGAGAATGCATTCAATGCATTCTCACTACTAGCGTTTCTGTTTTTCTTTATTATTATTATATAATGTTCCGTACGTTTTTTGTCGTTTAACTACTTCTACTATTTTTCACTAATTGTACTAATTCATATATCAAAATGTTCAGCTCCTTCAGG